AAGCTGAAGAGCTCTAAACACTTGCTAGAACAGTGCATTATGAGATGAGATCTCCTTTAACTTTTGCTTTTATTGGCAATTGTCATCGTGATAACAGAGAGTTTGTTGTTCTTGCGGACAATCATAGATGGGAGCCAAATGACACCAAAGGAAGGAGTAAAGTCGGCCTACCTGAGTAAGAAGCGTCAAGAAGTGTTGATTACCCGCCATATTCCACCCCATGGGAGGAAACTGCACGATCTACCTGTCAATTCCATGGGACAGTTAAGGTGTGTCGAGTAGAAGTGTGGGAAGCAGCGAAACGTTAAAGTTCAAAGGGTTTGGCCTTCCCTTTGATGGTTCTCGCATAACCGAAATCTATACTAAAAGTATTACCTTTCATATAATTCACAAAATGCATCTGCATGAAATTTAGGCCTGAAGCTGAGTAAACACAAAGCACCACTTCATACTGTTGTATTAATTTCTAAGGTAAAAAATAATGCCAAAGTACTTCTTTAGCAGTTGACACGACGAAATGTTACAGAACGTCAAATGTACATGCGAGGGGCAAATGTAAAATTTTACAAAGGAGAAGGAGTAAAAGAAGGAATTCGGAAGAAGAAAACCCAATCACCCCCCTTCAGCCAGCAACCATTGCAGTAAAGGTTTAAGATGGCAAAGTAAAAAAAAACAGAGCAGCGATTTATTGATGCAAAACGCCATTTACAGCAATGACAGGAGTTAGTGAAGGAGAGCACCAGAAGCGTAGAGACGAAATTGTTGGAGGTACTCCTCACTCGGCTTGTTCTTCAAGAACGGCACCACACGGTCGATCAGTCCGTCGATCTTGTTCGGCTTGTCCAGTCCCAGCATCGCACAGATGTAGGGGTAGAGGTCGATCTGGTAGAAGTGTTGGCGGTCGGCGAAATGTGGAATGTCAGGACCCATTGCCAGCATGAAGGGATGCATGTCGGGCTCCTCGTTGTCATAGCCGTGCATTCCATCTGTTGCGGATCAGACAGATAGTGTAGAAAATGGAAATGCGGCGTTACACAAACAAACTTATGATTGTAAGAAGTGAGTAAGACGTGAACCTACACAAATCCGTATATCCGCCTTCTCTGCTACTAATTAGCCATCCATTTTCCGCAATTGCATAGACTGCCGCTATTCTTGGATTCTTCTTGAAGTGATATCGGTCTGGAATGTCCTCCTTGTGGTAGACATTTAAATGCGGAGTGCCATTTATACGCTTAAATATTTCCTCATTTGTAACTATGGATTCGTTTCTGGTGCGCAAACCGAGAGTTGCCGGCGAAGTGTCTAATATGATGTGCTTGCTTATGTTCAACAATGGGGTGTACAAGTCGACTGTTTTATTAGGATGAACATACGTCATTCCGTGGTCAGAGGAAATGACAATGTTGACTTTCCCCTTCAATGATGGTGTTTGGTCTATTCGCTGCAACAGTTTGGCGACAGCATAGTTGTCCTCCTCCACAGCATCCATCACCTGCGAGGAATTGGGTCCGTACCTGTGACCGTTGCTGTCGGGTTGGTTGTAGTACATCATGGCGAGGTTGAACTCATCCCGCGATAGCCAATCCATGATTCGGTCAATGCGGTAGTCCAACGTGTTATCCTTGCTATAGAGGCCGGATGTGGCGAAGGCCATTTTGTTGTGAACTCTCGCCTCACTGCCGACCCACTGGAAGACACAACTTCTACCTCCATGTCGCTCGTTCGTGGACCACAGTGGTTCCGCACCCCCATACTCAAACCAATGCGGCTGTATATTTTTTTCTGTTTTCTTATAGTTGTACTTTCTATCTGTAGCTGGATCGTAGAAGTTGTTGCCCACAAGGCCATGGTTCTCCACATTGCGACCCGTTGCCATGGCATAGTGAGAGGGGAATGTCAGTGTTATCATCACATTCTGCACCTCCGCTTGGAAGCCGGCTTCACGGACTTGTTTGAAGGCGGAGATGTTCCTTCCCTCCTTCTCAGCCATGTCGAGGTAGTCGTGTCGGAAGCCATCAAAGGAGATGAAGAGCACCTTGTTTGTGCAGTAAGCGGAGCAGACGAGTGTAAGAAGAAGCAAAAACTGGCCCACTACCACGTGTTTTTCCATTTTTGCTGGTAAGGTAGACCCATCTCTAACCCTCTTCCTTTATATAAAGGCTTCTCATATTTGACGACATTTTAGTGGTTCTACAAAGCTCGGCTTCGCATTGGTGCTTATTTCAAGGTGTGGTTCTGCTTTCTCTCTTACCTCTCTATTCATCCTTACGGCTAAACCTCCTTAATTTTTTAGTACGATTTACTATCTGCACAACTTTAAGCTGTTTTAAGCAATTAGGATGGAATCACTACGTAAATATTAATAAATATTGTCATGTCTGAATTTCCTTCGACGTCTGATGTAGTGTCGCCCACAATCCGCCCATAAAAGTGGAAACGTAAGAACATTGTCCACTTGTTTGTAAGGTATTCCTTAATTTAAATTTATTTAAAAATTTAAAGCTCTTTTTTATGTTGTCGCTGAAATAGCACAAGTAGTCTGATAACGAACAAGTCAATCCGAGAGCGAAGAGTACAGTTTTGGTAAATGGCACACCACTTCACTGCAACGGTGCAAAACTAGCGCATGCGTCGTAGAGCAGTCACTCAACTCCGTTTGGCATCGAGAGGTTTTCTTTGTGCTTGCATTGTCATATGATCCTCACCGCCCTAGTGGAGGAAATTCCATGAATCTTCAGGCAGATATACTGGCTAACCATCGACGTTAAATCAACATTTGCACATGATTAAGCATACCTGTACGCTACTGGACCAGGATTACTATTTACATTTTAGTCATAGTTCGTCCAAACACATTTTCGCTTACACAATGCGCCCACAAAGGGACAAAAGTAGTCTGAGTTTAGATGCGGATGTTAGGACTGCCTTAATTTTTTGTGCAGTTGAATGAGGCAGTGTAAATAATTAGGTTTTTGAATAATACGAAATCTAGTTTAATTTGAATGCCTCAAATGAAGACAGAGTTGTGAGAATTTAGTCTTGTGGACAAAAAATGTTGACATAATATTCGTACAGAATGTCCCTGACAATGAGATGCATGTCTTCCAGAGTTAAAATGATATGACAGAACAAAGTGTTTCACTTGTGCGAATGGTTTGTCTGCTTACCCCTTACAAGTTGAGTCATTGTTAGGTCCTACTTACACCTTTGTAAGTAGTATGGGTAAGAGCAGTGATGGGTAAATTTAAAGCGACTACTTTCACGACGAACATTACCGTTCATGGAATTAAAAAGGTGGCATATGGCGAACAAAACCCATTTGGGAGTGTTATGCATATTGGTGCGTTAAAGAGGCAAAACTGGTGCTGAATGAATTGCCTGTATGTGGACTTACATTAACTTGTTTTATTTTTGGATTTTGAGGAGAGTGGAAGTAATAAAGTGAAGACTTCGTTAAGTCTTTCGTCTACTCTCGCTTTATTCACTAATCGTTTTGCCTGTCTACACACTCAAACCATCAATCACGATTGTTTTGCTCGCGTTACTCGCCTAATTTTGCCTCTCTATCAAAATGTCTGCCTGTGCCACTCTCCATGCACCTCTGCCGAACTGACTGCTCCCTTGCAAATGTATACTTTTCTTATTTTTTTTAATTTTTATTATGCGTATTATTATTATGCGCACTAAATACTTAAAGGATTCTCAAGAGTGACTTTTGTTCTAACTTATTCACCTACATATTTTAGTGTATGTCGAAAGTTAACTTTGTCGAATGCCTTGTGGTCCAATCTGTCAAGTTTTCGCTAAGTCTGTGTAAGAACTACCTTTTGATGGAAAAAATACTCTTACGTCGTTTATGTTAGTTTGAGGATACCCTTTGAAGTAGCGAGTTGCCGATATGCATCAGTCCCGTTGCTGCCCGACTTCACCGAGCCCCTTGAGGGGAGCAAATATCCTCTTTTTTTAAAGACCTAATCAGCATGAAAGCTTCGCGGAACGTTAAAGTGTGTGACACTCTTCTCCGGTAGACTGCTTCGTTAAAAGTTTTAGATGCGAGAAATGCGGAAGAGGCCGCCTTCGGGTCTGGAAATCTTGCATCAAGCTTCAAGATGTGTTATAAGCAAAACACAAAACGCATGATTAATAAAAGTTTTTTTGACTCGTTTATTTCCTTTTACTGAGTAAAGCGGACGGTTGGATGTTTGGAAAACGACTATGTGGCGTCGTTGACGCATGGATACATTATCGTTGGAAAGCTCCAATGACAGCCTTACTCACATGTGGCCGAATTCCGCTGGCCCCAGCGTTCAGTTCCCTTCTTTAAGGTGTGCTAATTACGGTAAGTTGAGTAAGTCAACCTTCAGGCCTCAAAACGTTGCAAAGCAAAGTGATTTGGAAAATGGTGAATGGCGTCCTCTGGACTAACGCAGTCTTTACCAAAAAGCAGGGATGGTAAAACAGTCTACTGATATCCACATGGCACCTTCTACATCCGCGCAGTACAATTTAGACGCGTAAAGTTAAAAATGTGGTGACTGTCCTTATCTACTGCCTTTTTGAAAAAGACATTTCAACTGATTTGCCTCCTAACTCATCGTCTCAACGCAATCCTGCAAAAAATCAGTCAACAAAACCATCAATGTCAGCACTGAAGGCAGAAAAAGCAACGTCAACCGGTCGCTGGTGCTCCACAATCCATCAGCTCTGAATGATCAGTCGACTTCTTTTCGCGACTCGGCACAGGTCTGTCATTGGGATCAAATTGCAGTTTCTGTGGCCTCAGAAATGCTCAGACGCGGAGTGATTAAAGTCACTCTAGGGTTCAGCCACCATGACACCTTTCGTTAACCTCGTTGCATTTACAAAGTCATTTTTTCGCTCGCTTGTTCAAATTTTGGGAGTTACACCTACCGCTCAGGAGGGAAAACAGGTTTCACTTTGGCTAACGGGTTAATTTTGCTCAGCCATCATTCCAACAGGTCCAATGATTCCCCTTAATCGCATAAAAATGGTCTACTGCCTTCAGAGCATAAGTGTTCTGCTATAAACTTCACAGATGTAAAAGAGGATGTGTTGTCCGGCAATGCAGTGCCCACACCGAGAGAATCCATTGTAACTCAAATCCTGTAATCCAAAATATGTCAAAACAGTCCCTCGGACAAAAGCAATTGAAGGCCCTCAAAAAAGGGAAGACATCGGTCACAAAGGCTCGAGTTCCCTCGAATGCCCATTAATCGTGCTCTTGCCAAACCGTTGCATTGAAAATCAAAGTGTCCAAAGCCTTAATACTCTCTTCCTCTTCTGACCAGGAGTATGAGCACCTTAAAATCCGATTTTGCTTTACTTAACAACTAGGAAAAAAGCACTAATGCTCCTCTAGATTCTACCATCAAAACGTTGCAGAATTTGGGCTTACTAAAATATCCTCAAGGCTTTCACTTTACAAGAAATCATCGATGAGGATCTTCCAGAGGAGTCTAATTTAGAATGTAATGGGAAAAAATTGAAACTTTCAAAGGTGTCTTCTGCGGTCATTGGGCTGTTTTTTCTTTGTTGAATGAGACGACTAACTTCTTAAAGAATGAACTTTATGGCGCAAATTGAGCACTTCTAAAATCAGACACGCTTCAACAATATAACGATAAGAACAATACGCGGATCGCACCAATTGTCGTCTGCCCACACCTCGGATGGATGGTACAGACCAACGCTTCCGACCCCTACAAGACCACCCTCAGTAAGTCCTCCATCCTAATATTGACATCTTATTTTGCGCCTTTTACTCGAGTCGACTGAATGCCCACCCCTTTATCCCACCACAGACGGGATGCACGG